CAATCAGAGGTGATTGTGGCAGTGTGACGTAGCGGTAAATGCGTCGAGAATATACTTTGCATCATCCGGGCTCGAGTTCAGCCGGCAGAGTTGATGAGATCCTTGCGAATTCCAAGTTTCTCTCTACTTTTGTGTGGAGTAGAATGCCTTTTTAGAAGCAAGGCCAAGTGAAATTTTATGAAAACATGAGGCTTATTAACATCATGTAAGGAAAATTCGACTATCAGCTCTTCAACGGATCATGCAACCTAGGGCGACTGGAACTTTCATTCGCGATGTACCAATAATCCTGAAGCCTACTTTTGCTGAAAGCCAGATCATTTCGTGCAACCGTCGCTTACAGAAGCCCTTCAAACAAATGAGCAACTGGTCACTGTTCGAGGCCCGGTTAAGAAGATTTCGAATTCAGAAAAGTGCTTATTTGCGGTTTAGACTAGCTGGCATGACAAAAATAAGACTATAAAGCACCTAACTAAGCGCATGTTCACTATTCAGGTCACCTAAGGCAGTACAACAAGACCTAAGTGTTCTTGGGGCTTGGCTTATCCTAGGCCACGTAGCTATGGCAACTGTGTATTGAATGCTGTAGGCGCCTGTAGTGAAAAAGGGTGGAGCAGGGCGGAAGTAAAGGAGGGACTTATAATTCGAGTTTGCCTGCGATCTCACTCATGGCTCAAATTCTGTAGAGCCGTCAATCACAGGGACAGTACGAGATGCTTTTGCTGGGACCCATGGGTCAACAAGGAGAGACAGAAAACCTAGGCCTCCCAGAGTTGTCCACGCGTCTGCCGGTTCTCTCTGCAGAAGGAGAGGAGGAATCGGCAGCCATTGTAGTGGCGATAGTGAGGGTGATGGCAACCTTGTTTTGCTACCATGCCAACAGTGTGCCGAATCGGAGTCCAGAAGAACACTTACACGCGGCAGCCCTCAAGCAGTCATTCTGTCAGCCCTGACTATGGGTGCCGGTAGAGCAGGAAATAGGAGACTTGAATGGCAGGTGTGGACAGCCAGATCTGTGAGCCTGCTCTAAACTGCTTTGTTTTGCTTGGGGGCTCTTAAAGAAGAACTGGGAGAGAGGCCAAGCCAGTAAGGATTGAATGTGTGCTGAGACGCGGCCTTCTGTGAGGGGGAATTGGGAACATTTGTCTACAAACGAGTAAAGGCATCAACATATAGGCCCGTGGAAACTATGTGAGTGCCATAGTGATCAGGTTTGCCAGCAGCGCTCAATTGAGGTACACTTGAAAAATGACAAATGTGTAGATTTTGTAGTTTAAGCTCCAAATGATGTGGGGAGAATACGCAATATTGTAGCCAATATTGAGAATCATCTACGAAATCTTGCCACTCCTGTTTAACGCTCCCAGTCTGCGTAAGGCTTGATAAGTAGAATTGGGTTGACCTCGTTGTCGCAACTTGGTCTTGTGGTCAGGGCGACTATGTAGAACGCACCTAGTCCGAAG